CAAAAGACATTCACACTGGCTTTGATTTTTTTGAAGCAGAAAATTTATTCAAAGGAATATAATACAGGATTATTAGAAAGTCTTAATCCACCTTAAAGTTAAAACTATTAGTTTGGCCAAGTTTAATTCAATACATATGTATTTTTTTAATGCCAGTCATTTAAATAGTCCAACACAGTGAAGATCTTAATAAAATTTTACACACACATAAGTGTGCACACGTGTACAAGAGAGATAAATATTCAGAGATTTATAAATTTATAGTCTTCAAATAAGCTGCCCAAAGAAACTATCCATTTGAATTTCTAGATGTATGCTGTAGTGAAACCACACTCGATTTATGACCTCATTAATGCATGGTTGAACATTCTTTAGATTACACTCTTGCCAGAGATAAATGCACTTGGCATAATATAATGTTTCAATCATGGAAATGTGATCTTGATCACATTTAAATCTGCTGTTTATACTCTGACATTAATTACCAACCCAGAGCCCCTTCTAAAGCTGCACAGCCAGTCTTTGAAGAGGTTGTTCATCAGATAGGAATGATGTTTGTCAAGCTGTGCACTCTTCTTAATGGACTTAATGTAATCATTGTTAAATGCCCAGATCCTCTTCCCCCCTGTCTCCCACCTTCTCAGCTTAATGGCCTATATGGCTCTTTAAAGTCATCGAGACACTCGGAGGAGCTGATGTGATACAAATCTACCAGAAGTCAAAGCAATGAAGTATATTCTCATTAAAAAGATTACACCTTGAGGTTTGAGTGGAAGAAGTTGGGGACACAAAGCAAATCACATTAAAACTTATAATTTATATGTATGTCTGAAATTAGATTATGTAAAAAATGGAGTTTATAGGGGAAAATAATCCACAAAAGGCAAAACTGAAGTGGTGTGTGTGTGTGTGTGTGTATGTGTGTGTGTGTGTGTGTGTGTGTGTGTGTATAGAGTAGAAAGTGGATATTCTTGCATTCCAGTACAAGGTCTAGTGCTCACAGTAGGGAACCCAGGGAATGTAACAGAGGTTCACATGTGTAGATCCTTTTCTTATGGCTGCTTCTCTGAATCATTGCCCATCCTTCTGGGCACCCTGCTCCTCAAAGCACAGAGCCTCGGGATTACCACAGAGCCTTTTCTTTTCCTTAGAAAGGCGTGTTTACTGAGAACTTAGTGAGCTCTTATAATGAGACTAGAGGCCCAGTGCACGAAATTCGTGCACTGGTAGGGTCCCTAGCGGCCGCCAGCTGCCAGCCAGAGCCTCCCTTCATTCCACTCCGCCCCCTGGTGGTCAACACATGTCATAGCGAGTGATTGAACTCCCGGTCAGTCAAACTCCCAAGGGGACACTTTGCATAATATATATATATATATATAATTAGTTATGCCATTGTTTAATATGTTGACCCATCATAGAAATGACCTGGACAGTCTGAATTATTGTACAACAGAAGAGATTCATAATGTATGCTAGTTAAAAAGGAAAGGAGAACTTTTATGGGAAAATAATTTTGATTTGAAAATATAGAGGTAAGGACAAGAACTGTCCTTTGAATTTAAATTCTAGAGGAATAACATCAAACTTAAATATATTTAGATTGAAAGGAAGATCATAGGAGGAATCAAGTGAAAGAAGAGCAAAAACCACCTACAAGTTAATTTTGTTTATAAATCAGATTCATGATCAAAGCTATGAGCAAAGGGATAACAGACAATGTTGGTGTTATGCCCAGACTCCTTTATACCCTTCCCTTTAATATCATAGGATAGTGGGCATGGGAAAAGTTAAATTATTGAAAAAACATAAGAAAGGCATATAGAGAGAAAGTTCGAGTATACTTATTACACCAGCAAAAGAAACATGTGGAATATGGCTACAGTGAGTCAAATGGCTAATAAGTTCAGGTGGATATATGCCTCAGTCTTTTTGGTTCAGGAATCTGGAAAAGGGGCTGACGCATAAATGGATACACTAGACAAGAAATATAAATTTGGAAGGCATGGGGGAAAGTCAGGCGGAAGCCTCATCCTCTAGTGAAGTGCTTTTTATTTACACATTTTGCCCTTTAGCAAAGCAAACATACATATCAAAGGTAAGGTTTGGTAAACAGTAAAAGGATTATCTGGTTAGGGCAGTAGTCGGCAAACTCATTAGTCAACAGAGCCAAATATCAACAGTACAATGATTGAAATTTCTTTTGAGAGCCAAATTTTTTAAACTTAAACTATATAAGTTTAAGTACATTGTGATTAACATTGTTATTAACTATTAAGTACATTGTTATTAACTTAATTAGGGTACTCCTAAGCTGGCCTTTGCTAAAAACGTCCTCAATCTGATTGAGGTACGTTCGCTGAGGTCGACCCCTTCCAACTCTCCCATCCACACTCCTCTTGTATACTTGTTTCGTATATCTCCTTTCGTTCATCCTCTCTATATGTCCAAACCATCTCAACATACCTTTCTCAATCCTCAACACTACATCTTCTTTCACTCCACAACGTTCCCTAAAATTAACTTAATAAACTTTACTTAAAGTTTTAAGTCAACTTCTCACTGTATGTGCGTGCCCGCACGTGGTATTTTGTGGAAGAGCCACATGTGTCTCACAAGCCACGGTTTGCCGACCACTGAACTTGTGTATAGGCTAATCTTAAAGTGGTTGATACATATCAATGACAGATACTTAAAATTCTCTTTTGTTGGTCTGAAGCCATTGTGTCATATTAATAATGAGCTGGCCTGCCAATATTTGTTTCACACACAATCTGTTCACATAATTTCCAAGTTGTTTGTAATATATTTTAATTATTTCTATAACTATTAACTTCAGCAGATTCCCTGACATAAAATCACATCTTTAAACACATTATATGTGGAAATATGCTTATTTTACATAGCCTTATAATTGTTTCCAACAGCTGTTTTCTATAGTTCATTTTAAAATTATTTTTAATTAGGTGATAGCCTCCCAATTCCCTTAGCGCCACTGTGATGAGCTGCAGTCAGTTCAAACCCATTCTTTTCAAACATTGAATGTTCCAAACCCTCCGTCTCTTAGGTATAAGCCTGTAGCTACATCTCAGCTCTTTCAAGGTTTGTGAAAGAAGAGCTGCATGAATAATCATAATAGATGTATTCTTTCTTAATCTCACTAATCAAAGTTAATAATGAGGTATAATGGCTAATATCTTTGTGGAAAATTATACCAACAATTGTCATGGATGAAGAATTCAAGTTTTCTAATTACATAAGGCATATGATAATGATGGATTATAATTATCTTGCTATAAATCAGTGGTTCTCAACCTTCTGGCCCTTTAAATACAGTTCCTCATGTTGTAACCCCCAACCATAAAATTATTTTCATTGCTACTTCATAACTGTAATGTTGCTACTGTTATGAATCATAATGTAAATATCTGATATGCAGGATGGTCTTAGGCGACCCCTGTGAAAGGGTCGTTCGATCGCCAAAGGGGTTGCGACCCACAGGTTGAGAACCGCTGCTATAAATTATTTTAAATAGAAAATTACTTCCCCGTTATTAGCCAGTGAATACTGGGACATTCTTCTTCTGTTGCTCAAAGGTCCATAGATGGCCATGTCACTTAACCATAACTTTAAGTACTGCATGTTTGCATTTCCATGTGAAATCAAGATCTGTCTTCTGACCCGCGTGTCTGTAAAGCAGCATCATTATTCACTTTGAGAAGTGTGTCCTTTTACAGCGCCCTGACCGCATTGGGTTTTCTGCCAATCTCATTAAAATGTAGAAGTTGCTTACTAATTTTCTGTGTTAGAAAGGAAGTTTCATGTTTTTCTCATCCCACAATGAATCTGTTCATGGTCAGTTAGAGTTGTGGGTAGCTACTCTGAGCATCTACAGTTCATGGCTTAGCTGCAACATCCCCTAAGTCAGGGGTTGGGAACCTTTTTTTTCTACCAAGGGCCATTTGAATATTAATAATATCATTCGAGGCCATATAAAATTATCAACTTAAAAATCAGCCTGCTCTGTTTGGCCAAATATTTAATGAACTCACCTCTAATGCCATGGCAGGGTCAGACACAATGATTTCTAGGGCCTTACACGGCCTGTGGGCTGGACGTTCCCCACCCCTGCCCTAAGTTTATGCATTTACTATGATAAATGCAGAGTCTGAACATTTTATTATATCTTTCTTTATTCTTATGTTTTTGAAAACATAAATGATTCACAGATAACTTTATTCATGGAATGAAAATAAACAAATGCATTCTACTTTGTTTCTCCCCATCCTACCCTCATCTTTATTTTATTTTTCTTCTTGTCTAGTGCATGGTTAAGTGACAGAACAGTGGTGAGCCAGGCTGAGTGGTTGATGAGTTACTCTCGATCCCATGGGTTCTGAGGATCACTCTTCAGACAGAAATGAAGGTGGTGGTGTTGCTGGTGCCACAGGCTAATTGGGGAAGAGGACGAAGTCAGGTGGCTCTGAGCCTGTGTGGGACTTAGCAGGATGGAACTGTGCCTCTGTTCAGACCCAAGCCTGTTCCCCTGCTGCCTGAGGTCCATGGAAACCCTGATAGCAGGAGGTAAGGGATGAGGAATAGGGGAGGAAGCTAACATTTACTTAGCAACCCCTATTTGTCAGGCACTGTTAATAATTTTAGAAAGGTATCTTGTCCATAATAACCTTTGGAATACTATGCATTTTACTTATTTAATGGCTTAAGTCCAGAGGATGAGGAGGTTTAAATAACTCACTCAACTACCCTTATCTTCATAATCTTTTTTACAATAGTGGTGTGAGCAAGTATTCCAATATTGAGTTTAAAAAGTCAAGGCGCTATATATGGTGTGAAATAAACCTTTTCAAATAAAGGGGATTTGTTGACATTCCTTATAATGAATGGTTACATTTGAGCCATTGAGCTGAAGCATCTAAGAGTATTTGCAATCTTTTCATTGTTTGTCTATATGATAAAAACAAAAGGAAAAATTCAGGCTTAAGGAGAAGGGGTTGCATAAAGTTGTAAAGAAAGATTTAGCACTGAATGAAGATGGCTGTCCAATCTTTAGAGTAAACCTTTATTAGAAAGGTATAGTCTTAAATGCCACTGGACTGGTAGCTAGGAAAACGAGTAAGTGCCATTTTTGCTAATTCAGTGTTAAGCGTTGCTTAACGCTCCCTCAACAGCTAGACATGGGTCTCCTCTCACAGTGCCCAGATTTCTGACACTCTTCCACAGCTGATCTGCAGTTCCAGGGCTAGGGTTAGACCAAGAACTCATTATCTGACCTTTCTTCTCAGAATCTCTTTCTTTAAGGTGTTAGTGGTGTCCCCAGCATTACCTGTGCCTGTCAGACAGCCTGAGATAGAGACAATTGCCTTTGTGGTTTGCATGAAGAGACCGGAAAGAAATGCAAATTGAATGATCCTTCAGCAGGGATCACCTTTGCTTCTGTGTACGGTGTAGCGGAGGGACCATCTGGAAGGGCAGGAGGATACAGCAGGTGTCCCAGGGCATGCCTGTGTAAGAACACGCATGAGCTTGTCATATACAAATTTGGCTTTATCGCATCAATCTGTCTGTGTCATAAAGCGTAAAATCTTACTCGTGGGGAGTCCATATCAAAGTTAATAATGACATCTGTCATTGACAGAGGTCTACTAGACAAGGACTTTTGGAACACCAGGTAATTAAATTGGGCTGTGTCCTTTTATTTACTGGCGAGAAAGAGGAAACTAGTCCCTGACATGGAGGAGTTCCTGTGGAACTATCAGCCAGGCCTTGGTGTTCACCTGCTGAACACAAATATGTTCACGAAACATTAGACAAGACCATTCCATGACTTTTATGAATCATAAAAAAAAGAACATAAGCCCTCTGTAATCAGGCCTGAAAATAGACAAAACATTAACATTGCCCATGCCCCCTGGTGATCTGACATTCCCCCACTCTCATGAGTAACTGCTGCTTCTTTACTTATCACAGCTCTAGCCTTGGTCTAGTCTCTCCTGCTTCCAGATAAGATTTATGAAGATGCTCATTGAATTACCCTCCTCACCACTTCCTCACAGTATTCAAATCAGAGCAAAAATCCACTTCCTAACCGCTCCCCGAATTACCTAACATAAGAGCAAATACCATATGTTCTTACACCCCCAACTGAGATGTCTCAGGGTTTTCATGACGTACCTTCTCTCCCACTGCAAAAAGAAATAAACCAATTTATATAATTTCAGGTGTGTTCCTGGTAGTCACTGGCTGGAGGATATAGGATTGCTAAATGGTTATGATGGGGACTTTATAATTGATAAAATGAGTAGGGTACTTCTGTCTAACAGAGTCACTGGTTATTTAGTTGTTTTTACTGTAATAAAATATACACAACATAAAAATTACCATTTTAATTTTTTAAGTGTACAGTTCAATGGCATTAGTACATTTACCTTGTTGTGCAACCTTCACTACTACCAGTCCTCCTCCAGAACTTTTTCATGACCTTAAACTGAACCTCTGTATCTGTTAAGTAAAGTCCTCATTCTCCACGCCCCCAGCCCGAACACCACTATTCAACTATCCGTCTCTATGAATTTGACTATTTGAGGTACCTCATGTAAGTGGAATCATATGATATTTTCCTTTGTGTCTGATTTTACTTAGCATATTGTCTTCCAAGTTCATCCATGATGTACAGGTATCAGAATTACCTTCCTTTTTAATGCTGAATAATATTCCATTGTATGGTTATACCTCATTTTTGTATTCACTCATCTGTTGATGGATACTTGGGTTGTTTTCACTTTTTGAATTGTGAATAATGCTGCTAAAAACATTGGTATAATTATGCTCATAATTTTTTTAAGCAACAATGAGTGTAATAGTTTCAGGATTTTTCTGAATCTGCATATGACCCTAAAACAGTCACCTTCCTTCCTTCCCTTCTGTCCTCCCCAACCCCCATGCTTGGAGAAATCAGTTTTTTTCTAGGAATCTAGAAGAGCACGACATGTTATGTCCAAGTGTCACCACTGACTTACCAACATAGCCCTAGGGAGGGGTAGAATCATGGAAATATTAAGAGAGGCAAAACAATTCCAAACCAATTTTTCTTTTAAAATATATTTTCAAAACTGAGTTATAAGTCTCTTGCTACTTTGTGAAAAGCTAAAAAATAGGCATGTTAAAGGAGGGTTTTGACACTGAAGTGAGAGATATAGCCAGGTCATTTGTTTATTCAACCATTAAGCTATCATTTGCTGCTCTCTGCCTGAAACACAAGCCCAATGAGTTCAGGGACTTGCTGCTCCATCTTCTTTCACTGGAATAGAGCACATAATAGACACTCAATAGGTATTTATGAACTAAGTAAATAAATTATTATAATGATCCCTTGTATGTTTTAGATACTGCAAGAGGCATTAGAGCAGTGGTTCTCAACCTTCTGGCCCTTTAAATACAGTTCCTCATGTTGTGACCCCAACCATAAAATTATTTTCGTTGCTACTTCATAACTGTAATTTTGCTACTGTTATGAATCATAATGTAAATATCTGTTATGCAGGATGGTCTTAGGCGACCCCTGTGAAAGGGTCGTTCGACCTCCAAAGGGGTCGCGACCCACAGGTTGAGAACCGCTGCATTAGAGGGTATCTAACACTATTTCTGTCCACATAATGCTTTAAGATCAGCTAGGAAATTAGAAACATATTAAAAGATAGCTATAAAAAAACTGCAATGGGTGTACTTCTGGATAGTAAGGAAAATTGCAAAGATGAGTTAGAATAGAAAGAATTTTGATATATGAAAGCATCAAACTGTACTCCGTGTGGAGTTAACAGCATAAGAAAAGGCTTGGTGGGAGCAAGAAGCATAATGATGAATTGTAGCTTCTTGTGTTTCCATTCTGTTCAATAAACTTCAAATTCTTCAATTCATTTAAGCTTCATAGTGCCTTCCATTTTCCCATGCCCAGGAAGAAATAATTATTCTTCACACTTCAGTGAAGGGAACAAAAACACACAGAAATTAATTGGGAGAACCTGGATTTGAATCCCAGTCTTCAGATCCCATAACTTGTGATTGCAATCCCTAGATTGTATTCAGTGAGTGTTAATTAGCTTATTTGGGGTTGGCATATAAGGAGTATATGTAGGGGAAGATAAGAGGAGAAGGACTGAAAACCCTAAAGGGTTAATATGGTGGTGGAAGTGGGGATTATCACTTTAAAAAATCTTTAATGTATTTTTATTGATTTCAGAGAGGAAGAGGGAGAAAAAGATAGTAACATCAATGATGAGAGAGAATCATTGCTGGGGTGCCTCCTGCATGCCCCCCACTGGGGATCAAACCCGTGATCCAGACATGTGCCCTTGACCTGAATTCTATCCAGGACCCTTCAGTCTGAAGGCTGATGCTCTATCCACTGAGCCAAACCAGTTAGGGCTTAAATTTTGAATTTAAGTACAAAATCCATTTTTTATAGTTAAATATAGTACATTTCTTTGAATGAGATATCCAGGTAGAGGTGGTAGAGAATGGTAAAATGCATTGATTATTAATTTTTAATTTTACAAAGGTTCTTTATTGTCCCTCTTTACATATTTTAAATTTGTGAAAGTATATTTCTGAACATTATATTTTTTTATTGATTTGGCTGAATTGTTTTAAACAAAGTTCCTCTTGTAAAATATTATTCAGCTGACCTGTAAGGAACCTTGTTTTTCAGAATATAACTCAGCATCAATTTAATTGGGAAAAAAAACCACATATATACTAGTAGCTCCAACAATTAAGAAATATTATGAACTAATGAAAGATAATACATACCAAAGAACCATGTTTTTTTTTTTTTTTGAGTGGAAGAAGATATAAAGTAATAAAATATTCCAAATGAGTAGCAATGTTTATAAACTGTGTATAGTGTGATGTTGATGGACAACTGAGGATTACATAAACTTTAATAACAGCATGAAACCACTGTGATATGTCATTTTTCTCTTTCCATTTATTCTTATCAGAGTCTTTTTAAAAATGGTTGGCTCCTATTGCACCACAATGAAAACTCATTAGTATTTTGTAGTGATAAAATGGTTGATCTATACCTTGAGTTGGTTGGATAGAATAAAAAAACTAAGGTGTTTTTTTGTTTGTTTGTTTTTTTTTGCTATTTCCAGCAGCTATATGTGTGAGAAGTCATCACAAAGAAAACAAGATTATATAATAATAGAGTCAAAAGGAGCTCTAGAGATCAATAACAAATTCTAGTTTAGTTTGTCAGTGGGTGTGATGGTTAATTATGTGTGTCAACTTGGTTAGGCTGTGATGCCCAGTAGTTTGGTCAAACACTAGTCTAGATGTTGTTGTGAAGGTATCTGTGGATATGATTAGCATACACAATCATTTGACTCTGAGTAAAGCAGATTACACTCTTTAATGTGGGTAGGCCTCCCTCATCTAAGCAGTTGAATGCCTTAGAGCAAAGACAGGTTTTCTGAAGAAGAAGAATTCTGCTTCAAGACTGAAACATAGAAATCCTACCTAAGTTACCAGTCTGCTGGCCTGCCATTCAGAGTTTCCAGTTCTCACAAATCAATTCCATAAAATCTCTCCACTACAACTAGCCACAGACTGGATGAGAAATAAGATCCCCTTAGGGTTGAATTGTAAGGATAATTTTTTCACTAAAAGCAGATATATACATATACATATACATATACATATACATATACATATACATATATATATATAATCTAATAATAGACAAACATGGTAATTGACCGTACCTTCCCTACGCTTCCCATTGGCTAATCAGGGTGATATGCAAATTAACTACCAACAAAGATGGCGGTTAATTTGCATACGTAGGCGCAATGCTGGGACGCGAAAGGGGAAGGATGGAAGAAGCCGCCTGCTGCTGACGGTCATCGGAAACCCAGGCGGCAGCCAAGAGCCGGGTGGCAGGGCAAAGGCGCCTTTGCCCTACCCCTGGCCCATGATCAGAGAACCAGGCCGCCTTTGCCTGCCCCCCAGCCAGTGATTGGAGAAGCCAGGCAGGGTAGAAAAGAGGTGGATACCAGCAGCCGCCTCTTCCCTGCCCCACCCAGCTTCTCTGATCACCGATCACCGGCTGGTGATAGGTGATCAGAGAAGACCCAGAAGCCGGGCTGCGTTGTCGCCCGGGGACCCAATCTAGCCCTGCATTGGGAAGCGGGAGGCAGCTCTTCACCTGGAGGCTTAAGCCCAAGGTGGGAGGTGCCATTTTCTGTATGGAAAGGCAGGGGGCGTGGCTAAGCACAAGGCGGCACCATGTTTGCATACGGAGAGGGGGCGTGGCTCTGAGTGGGGTGGTCCCACGTATGGAGAGGCTCAGAGCAGGGCGGCGCTACATCCGGAGAGACCGCTGCTGAGGCTGGGTGTTCGCCTCAGGATGCGAGTGGCGGGAGAGGAGCGCTAGGTAGAGGAGGTGCTGCTTCAGGCAAGTGAAGGAAAAGGGCAGGTCGCCAGAGAGAAGTGGGGGGCAAGAGCTGGGTAGAGGGGGCAAAAGGGGGGAAAGAGGGACATCCTATATAATAATAAAAGGCTAATATGCACATTGACTGAACGGCAGAATGACCGGTTGCTATGATGCGCACTGGCCACCAGGGGGCAGACACTCAATGCAGGAGCTGCCCCCTGGTGGTCAGTGCACTTCCATATGGGGAGTGCCACTCAGCCAGAAGCTGGCTCATGGCTGGCCAGCGCAGTGGTGGTGGCAGGAGCCTCTCCTACCTCCGTAGCAGCACTAAGAATGTCCAACTAACGGTTTAGACCTGATCCCTTGGGGGCCTAAGCCTTTAGTTGGACATCCCCCGAGGGCTCCCTGGCTGCCAGAAGGATGTCTGACTGCAAGCTTAGGCCTGATCCCCCCGGGGAGTGGGCCTAAGTCGATAGGTGGACATCCCACAAGGGGTCTTGGACTGTGAATGGGCACAGGCAGGGCTGAGGGACACCCCCCCCGCCAGTGCACAAATTTTTGTGCACTGGGCCTCTAATTAATATATATATTAGAGGCCTGGTGTGCACAGGTAGGGTCCCTAGGCCTGGCTGGCGATCAGGGCTGATCTGTGGGGTGACCAGCGGGGAGAACAGGGGCGACTGGGATGATGGGGGGGGGGCGGTGGCACCGGTCCGCTCACTGGCCGGCCCCAACCCCTGATCGCCCCACCCCGCTGGTCACCTCCCTCTGTAGGAGGCGACTGGCAGGGTGATTGGGGGGGTGGGGGGAGACCCTGCTGGCACCCACCCTGACTGGCCTGGGGCCTTCGGGCTGGAGGCAGCTCCTGCATTGAGCATCTGCCCCATGGTGGTCAGTGCCTTTCAGTCTATTTGCATATTAGACTTTCATTATATAGGATTGCTCTCTCATAAAACTGATTCTGTTTCTCTGAAAAACCCTGATTAATACCGTGGGTAAACTAAAGCCAAGAGAAATTACATGCTTTTCCTAATATCACTTAGTAAGTAGTGGAAGAGCTGATAATAGAAAGATTGGGTATTTAGGTCATAAAATTATCTTAAAAGTTGATTATAAGCCTGGCTGGTGTTGCTTAGTGGTTGAGTGTCAACCTATGAACCAGGAGGTCATGGTTCGATTCCCGGTCAAGGCACATGCCTGGGTTGCAGGCTCAATACCCAGTGTGAAGTGTGCAGGAGGCAGCCGATCAATGATTCTCTCTCATCATTGATGTTTCTATCTCCCTCTCTCTCCCTTTCTGAAATCAATAAAAATATACTTAAAAAATGGATTATAAGCCAAGAAAGAAATTCAGAACTATCAATTTCCAGCCCTCTCTTTTCTAGTGAGTTGCATGCAGAGAAATGTAAGGTTTTATGCAAAATCCAATACATTAAAAATTCTAACACTCAAAGAAGATAAAACAGGGGAGGGATTACTTGTTTGCTTTACCAAAAGTTACAGTGTACAATTCTTTATAGAGGCAACTTTCCCCATCAGTTAAGGTGGCTTCATTTTTTAAGAAAATGCTTTGTAACTTTTTAGAAATTCCTAAGTTCAACACTCAAACAAGGCATGACTTTAAAATGTCTCTTGTTAAAAATATTTCCAAGATTCAATAATTATTTCATTCTCTTGAAAACAAATATTTTATAAGGATAGAAAAGGCAACGAGAGGAAGAATATGCATATGTCATTGTCTCAATAAACATAAGTCTCATATTGTGTGTGACGATTTGCTGATAACAAGCTCTTACACTCTTTCCAGGAAGCTTCACTGTGAATCTCTGAGTTACTATCATCGTTTTCTAATGGAGACAACTAGGGCTGACAGAAACTCGAGGACCTGCCCAAACTCCTCAGAGCCAAAGCATTGGGTTCCCAGGGCTGAGCTCTCCTCATTGCCCTCTGTGATGCCCACAGAGCACCAGCATTAGCCAGAAGGGTGGTGTTTGTAGGTCTCTTGACCAATAATCCCACAGTGAGCTAAATTCTCACACTCATCAAAAGGTATGTTGCTGCTAGTAAGAATATTAAGATTGACCTTGGAAAAAATCCCAGTATGTCCCCTTTTCATTCTTAAAGATAACCCTACCATGACCTCTTTTTTAAAAAAAAATACATTTTTATTGATTTCAGAGAGGAAGGGAGAAGGAAAGAGAGATAGAAACATCAACAATGAGAAAGAATCATTGATCGGCTGCCTCCTGCACGTCTCCTACCGGGGAACAAGCCCACAACCCAGGCAAGTGCCCTTGACTGGAATCGAACCTGGGACCCTTCAGTCCACAGGCTGGCGCTCTATCCACTGAGCAAAACCAGCTAGGGCTACCATGACCTCTTGAAGCTATACATTGATTCTATGGGACAATGGAAAATTTGATCACACACATAAGGCATTATCTCTCCTTTCTCCATGTTTTCAAAGTGCTCCCGCTGGGAAATATTCTTTGGGTTCTACATCCTTGTATTATAAGCAAGCTTTAGTTGTTGTTGTTATTAATGTTAATGGTTTACTGAAGTGAAATAGTCATCCCCATGCTTTACAGCAGCTCTCTTTCTTACCTTGGTTTTCATGTCCCCATCACATTGGTAAGACTTGATTTCTCTCCTTGTCTTGTCTGAGAGCAGGTGGACCAAGACAGTTCTTTGGAGGCACAATGAGTGATTTCTCTTGAGAGAGGCACAGCTCTCTAATCTGCCAGGGAATGAAAATTTCGACAGTCACACAGATCATTTTGAATGGTGCCAAATACATTTCACCAAATGCTCCTGTCAATAATGACAGCATGTCCCTGGGAAATGTGGTCATTTTCTTCTGGCACTAGGCACTGGGCTTATCCTGAGTGGCTTGACAATGACAGAGAGGACACAGGTAGCTTTCTCCATAGAAATCACAAAGAGGTCTCGTGATCTATGAGCAATGAAGGGGTCGAAGGGCTTCTTTATCTTGAAATGTCAGAAACAGGATGCCAGGCATTAAGTAGGAACCACCTAGAACTTACTGCCCTTTGCCAACAGCACACTCTCGTCAACCATTCAAAAAATTAGGCGAAGTGGTGACTGCAGACCACCATTTTGTTATAAGCAGACCTGCAGGCTCCATCAGGCTGGGAGAAACATCACCTGTTGTAGCTTACAGAAAGGAAAGCTCTTTGGTAAGAATGCAAAGTCCTGAAAGCCAGTGTGTGAGTCACCTCGTGGGGAGAAGATAGCATCCCAAAGTCTACCAAGATTTAGGCTCGACCACAAGACTGTTTTTTATAGAAATAGGATCAGGTGGTCACATCAAAGGGCCGAACAGGACCATGAACCGCGATTTAAAAAGAAAAGAAGAGGAAAAAAGCCAAAAAGAGCTGCAGGATGGCGAGAAAAGGCAGAGACGCAGAGGAGGGCCAGGGCGGGAGGAGGGAGTCTGGGAGGGAGGGGAGAGAGGAGAAAGCTGAGCGCGGACGTCAGGAGCCTCAGCTTGGGCAGAGTCTGGCGGAGGCACTGGGGAGCATGGGGTGTTTGGAATAATTACTGAAACCCGCGTGTGTCTGCGCCATCCTGTGGGTGTGGCGCAGAGCGGAGTGTAAACTCTAGCGGGGCTGGAGCACACACTGGATTAGTGGCAGCAGCCTGCCAGCCTGCCAGCGAGCAGTGCGGGACCCGCAGCGCAGCGCGCACGCCACCTGCACGATGGCCTCGTCTCAGGGGACGAACGAGCTCAAATTGGCCGACTGGATGGCAGCTCTCCCGGAGAGCATCCACAGCATCCCCCTCACCAATTTAGCCATCCCAGGTAGGGCGCACGGCGCGGGCGCCGCCACCTGCCCCGCCCTGCTTCTCTGCCACTAGGTGCTAAGTTGCCAGGGTGCCCGCGGGAGGGAACCGGGTGCCAGGGGTGGGTCTGGGGCCAGGCTAGCGCTGCCCGGGAGCCTCCGGCCTCTGGCCTTTCCCTAACCTCTGGGGACCCTGGCGCGGGGATCAAGGTGACTGCTTTTGCAGCGGGCTGTGGCAGAGGGCTGGAGCGGGAAAGGCTCGGCTGTGGGTTGGCCCCCGGTGCCCCCTCCCTCGTTCTTCTCCGCAGACTTGGAGGCGGGGGCGGGGGGGCGGGGGGCGCATCTGGGTCGGTGGGGGACCATGCGCTGTGAGCGCCGGCTGGTGTCCTGGGGGCTCCGTCCAGCGCCTGTACCTCCGACTCCATCCCTGGCACAGAATCCAGAGGATTTGGTAGATTTCTCCGGTAGAACCTACCTGAGCCATTTCTATTCATGGTCCCCGTCTCCTTTAAAGAGACAAAGCGCTTCCCCGAGAGGGATGAAAGTTGAGGGACCAGCGGCAGCGTGATCGCCGCCCTTGACCCGGGAGCTGACAGGGACGAGGGGCGGAGGGCTCCGGGTTGGGGTCTGGGAGGACCCGCGGGCCTGGCCCGGTGGCCACCGGGTGAACCGTGATCCCAGCGCTGTTAGCGACGATCAGCTCCCGGGTCACGAAAACGAGCCCTGGCGGACCCTGCGTTTGCTGCCCGGAGGGAGCCCTGAGCAGCGGAGGCGGAGGGGTGGGATTACCAGGAGGTGATGGTCCTGGTGTCCCGGGTGTCCCCACAGCCAAGAGAACGGGAGCGAGCCTGGCAAAGCCGGGAGAGGCAGGAGGCACCCAGAGGCTTCAGCATGGCGCGCGGCTGGCACCAGAGGTCTGGGCAGGTCTCCGGGTTGGTGCGCGCAGCAGCCCCTGGCTCAGGTGTGCGGTGGGGAGGACACTCCAGGACAGTGGGCCGCGGCGACAGCGGGACACGGCCGCACTTCCTTACCAATTGGACTTTCCACTTGGGCTGAAGGAGTGGATGCCTAATCCTTCTCCGGTCGGACCAGAGGACAAATTACACATTAGGCACAGGTGGTCCACACCTGCCCCTACTTGAGCCCGATTAGGTTCAACCTTCTGTTCTACCCCTTCTTGACTCGCTCCACCCAGCGCCCCCTCTCAGCCACTGAGGGGAAATATAATTTAAAACAAACAAAAAGCAAAAGAAGGGATCTCTTGGAAATCCCAGGGGGCTCTAACCAGCAGTGCTGGAATGGATCAGTAGCCCAAGTCAATGGTCCTCAGTCAAGTGGATGTCTGGCCGCTCTGATAGGCACAGGCCACACTCTGAACACCAGCTGGGAAGGGGAGAGGCTGTGTCCTTGTGTCCTTCTTTAGGAGGTAGCTTCCCAAGAGCCTAGTGTCTCCAACTTAAAGGACAGCCCAGCCTCTCCACTCTACAGTGCCTGCTAGCTGGGCGAGCCTGGGGATCGCTCTTTTGAAGGAAATGGTAGAAAGTGCAAACTTTGTTGGCAAAATTCCACTCTCACTTCCACAGGAGTTCCTATCCTCTTTTTTCCTTCCTTTTTTTCTTTGGTTTTAAAGTTACTTTCACATGGCCTCTCCCTGAGCATTTCTGCACACATGGAAGGTAAGAGGGGCGAGCGATGCTTGTCTTCCGATGTGTGACTCTCCAGAGACACAGGGGTTAACAGCCTAAATTCACATTGCTGGTTCTGATGGAAGCTAAGACACACTGTCTGAATCGCTTACATTTCTGTAATACTTCCCTTTTCAGAGCCCTGGTATGTAGACCAGATCACGTGATCCTTCCCCAGACCCCAGGAAGCAGGCATTGCTGGGACTGTGAACTCCATTTCACAAATGTTAAAGCTGCAGCTCAGTGAAGGCAAATGGCCTAATATCAGCTCAGAGATCTGACCCTAAAGTGGTCCGTAGGGAAGAGCTTCTAGGAATTTTAGAGCAAAATGCTTTGGCGTTCGTATCTGGATAATTCAGTAGCAACAAGTACTAACCAGGATGAAGGAACAAGGAAACATGCATTAACAAGAACAGGGCAATTTTCCTTTCTCCCCATGGAACAAAGTCTCTGACTTTGATGTTCTGGTATACTTAGAGACATAAGATGACGCAGCATTGGATGCAATGGGAATTTCCACCACTTTCCCAATCCCTGTTAGTATTATATTCCAAATGGACCCCCTGCAGAGCTTCTCTCATCCCCAATACATCTGAGAACTATTTCTTCAAATGTACACCTCCCCGCCCCCCTAGTTTTCCATGAGTCTGTAATGTAGATTTGGTAGAACCATACACATAACCCCAGGTCTAAAAATGGATTACGGCACTTTTCTGCATTACTCAACTGTGAGAAGTTTTGGAGGAAAAAAAGACATTCAAACTTTGACAGTCAGAAAAGACTAATTGGAGACTATTAAACACTAATGGAATAATTGCCTTAAAATCATGCTAATAGCTTCCTGGCTGCTACATGTTTACTTGGCCGGTTGCTAGAGCTTGAATTAAGTAATTACCTCCACCATTTAAAGCCACTCCTGATGCCCCACACAAGTGTTCCCGTGGAAGGAACTGCTGCTCTGTCATCCTCAAAACTTCAGGTTTTCCCAGGTGACAGAATTGGAGCATGAAGAGCTGCCTAATTAGGAGGCCATCCACTTGGGGCAGTTAAACCAGATGACCCAGGAGGGGCCATGCTAAGAACAGTCTGCAAGTGTGAGATACTCCCCAGCATGAGTTCATTGCTGGCCTCTCTAAACATTTCTCAGTGTCTGCATCTGGAATGTTTTCAGAACCAAATCTCTCAGTGGCTATTTTGCATCTAAATGGCCTCATGATTTGGTATAGACTGACCTAAGGAATCAAGTTAATAATTGGTGTTAGTAGTTTTCCTGTCATTTATCTTTCAAAGGGATGGCACTGTCAGGACACAGGGACAGGTACTCAGATCTCAGTCTCATGTATCACTTTTCCTTCTCTCTGATGACACCAAACAAGGTTTTCATTCATTCAAACATGTTTGCTTAACAATCCCCTGGCAGTCTGGGTGATGAATGAGGCTTCCTCCCACCACAAGCAGTTGAGAGAGGATAAACAGGATGGCAGCGGGAAGACAAAGTATAAAATGCCGGTGAAGGGGAGTCAGATGAATTTCTGGTGTGTCTGATGGACCTCTGGCATCTTTGAAGCAGAGTTTTTAATTCTATAGTCACAGTGGCTCCAGAACCATTGAGAAGAGATCTATCACGGGGCAAGCAAGCTGCTGCTTAATCTGACTAAGGTATGGGTGGTCTGGGTCTGTGACAGGGGGTCATTCTGTCCAAAACCTAAGTGATCAGGAAGGGGTTCTAAATGCATAGGTCTGTTATGCATTTTCTGTAAGTGCTGAAAGTCTTCACACAGTACAGTAAGTTGTGTTTTCTTGATGTTGGAGGAGTTCATACAGAGGATGTGACTGTCAGTTGACCCATGCGTAGGACTCAGGCAATTGGAGTCTCCTCACACCCTCCCCTGTGCTTGGAATATTCATTCTGCCCCTGTTCCATTCCCACAGTGAGAGCCATTTTCAAGGTCATAATCTTTGAAGAGCGATGTGTTGTTGGGCCATCTGGATGGTATATGTGGCTGAACCCAGTTAAGGCCTCTGTACAAGCTTTTAAGAGTCTGGCAGCCTAGTGTGGAGACTTCATCATGTGGCTGCCCAAGACAAGCCTGGTCTATAAGTTCCCTTGCTAATGAAAGCTGCCACCTACCAATCTGGAGTGACCTGCCTCTTTCTTCGCTCTCTCCTTGGCCAATTTGTGAACCAGCATGTGAACAGGAATTGTTGATTATACTTTACATAGAAACACAGAAATGCTCCAGAAATCAATAATTGTACCTGTCAATTTTACTCATTTCTTACAGAAAATGCCAACACTGATGAAAAAGAACAGCTATACTTAGGCAAGGAAATTAGAAGTCCCTACAGCTTTGATTTCTATGTTATGTTTGCTTTTATTAGTTTTTAATTTCTTCCCTTGCAGCTATCTTTTCTCATCATCAGTTTTCCTGGACCCAACTGTCTTCTTCCTTTTCCGTGTAATTCACTATTTCTGTTTTGATTGGAGTGAGACGATCTACAGACAAATCTGGAACTGGATCTGATTGTGCAAATTTCTTTTAAAAAGCCGGATTTGGTCCCCCCCCCCCGCCCCCCATCTTTTTGGTTAAGATGGTTATATGGAAGTTAATTTTTCAAAGCACTCACTAAGCAACAAAAATGTTTAGGATGAATATCTTTCTTGTTGGCCTTTCCAATTCCCAGTTTTGCTTTTGTTAAAGAGGAAAATTAGAAGAATATCTGGAACATAATTTATTCTACTAGGACTTTTTTCCTGAGCAGTTGAATTGAATCACCAACTATTTTTAATCATTATAATAAGGTGATGCTTATGTCATTTTACATACAGTTCATGAGGAGTTTTCTCGTGTACACATGTGCTTTGCTCATGTTCCGTCAATAATCAAAGGCCTTGCTACTTAGAGTTGGGCCAGGGGCCAGCAGCACGGGAGCTGGGTAGAAATACAGCCCCTCAGACCCCTCCTCTCAGGATGATTTAATCACAATCTGCATTCTAACAAGATCGCCAGGTGATTTACATACACGTTTAACATTCAGGAACTGCTGCTTTGAGGTATCTCTCAGGGAATCCTTGTTGTAAGTGGCAGAGCCAAATTTAAATATGCATCTTTGACAAAGCTCTTCCTATTGGACCGTGCAGTCTCTCTGTGAGTGTTCAAATTCACCACCAGGCTTAGAGCCAGAGCGCCCTGTTTGCTCAAGGCTAATGGCCCAGGTTGGGAACATTTCTGTTAACTGACATTACAGTTCTTCATGCACCTTGAACAATAGACGTGATTCAGTTGCTACTTAAGTGTTCAAATTAGGTCCTGTGATACATGTAAAACATTTCCCTTCATTTCCTTAAAGTCCTGCTGCTCATTGACATCAGCCATCAGTAGCACTTAAAATCCATCCACCTGGTGATGCTAGTGGTCACTAATGACGATTCAGAAAACATCTCTGATCGTTCTTTGTCCATTTGGTCTCATTCCTTGTTGAGATACTTGAATTATATTTATAGGGTGCAGATTCAGTCAATTTATCTGTAAGCTAGAACTTCTCACTATTGCTCTTAAGCAATAGTGACATCATGAATAAGTTAGTGATAAGTAGCATCAGAAAGCCTTCAAAAACAAGGTAATTAGTACATTTTGATGGAAAGAAAATGATCAATCTCATTTGTATTTGTCAACCGTGCCTCATTTATTTCAAGCATGGTGTACATGGAATGGAAAGATGCTTAAATGTGGCTAAACTCACTTGTTTGAATTTTAATTATTTGGCATAATCAGTGCTCTAAAATAGTTTTAAAAATTTAAAAGCCATTTCAAATTGGAATCAAGAGATCCATTGGATCTCTTCTTAATGGATATTGTGCCATGTTTATATGTTAAAGCTCACATGCTTTGCTCATAGGAAAGTTTCTCATATTCTTACTTAGAGTTTATTTTCTCTTATTTAATTCCAATACCACCCAAACAAAATAGAAAGAGTAAGTTACAAAGAGAGGAAGGAGACTGTTGAGTGCCATACATCAGCAATAACAACAGGGACTATTCGTGAAGAAAGACTAACCAATGGAAACACAAAATGTAAAATCTTCTAAATCCTGACAGCCCAAAGGTAAAATCAAAGTCATATTAATTGTCAAGTTTCAGCTACTCTGAGGCACCTTCTTAATGGACTTCCAAATAGTTCTAGAAATCTCTGGATAAGTTCTTCAGTCTTTTATAAGCCAAGTGTGGGGGCTACCACATGGTATCTA